CTCCCCCGACGAGCCCAGATAAGGAGCAGGTGTGCCGCCAGGACTTCGGGTGTGGCCAGCCCTCAAGTTAGGCCACGCCCCCAGGGCTGAAGGTGCCTGTAACTTGGCCACAGCAGAAAGGCAATACACACACAGACATACCTGCCTACATACAGATGTGCCAAGGGGCAGTGCAGACAACACACCAAATAATAATAATAATAATAATAATAATAATAACAACAACAACAGTCATAGTCCCCACTGCCCACGGACCCCGAGTCCCCAGAGCCGGGTCCGTGACAGATATCCTGTGTTTGGGTGGTTTCTTTTAGCTGCAACGAGGCAGGAAGTCACATGAAGTTAAATGAGGATCTTAATTTTCTTTTAGTTCTCAATATGATATGTCTAAAACTGTGATCAAAAAAATAAATAAATAACCAGGGTGTTGAGGTTAAACAGACTCGAATTCAATACAGTGTAAAGTAGTAGCAGATCCTAAATAAATATTTATTTACAGAGCTTGCCTATAAAAGCTAAAAAATGATCTTCTGTGTTATTTATAAATACCTCTATTGCGAATAACGGTCTTAAATCTAACTATTGTCATTGCACTGAGCCTGTGACCCAGTGTTCATGCATTTTCAGGTTTAAATTATCCTCTGGGATTTAGTCCCTAAAAGGTTCATTCTGTTTATCTGGATGTAGCATTTACAGTGGGAGAAATGTTTCCTCAATTTTCCACTTTCATGAGTGACTTAGATTAGAAGCTAATCTTTCCCATAGAGATTGTAACAACTATTCTGCGACCAGACCTCATCCTTTGGTCTAACTCCTGAAAACTTGCTTACGTCACTGAGCTGATGGTACCATTGGAGGATGCAATTAGGAAGCATTTGAGTGTAAGAAACTGCAGTATGCATACTTGGTAGCTGAGGCAGAGGACAGAGGTTGGAAAATCAAGGTCTGCTCAGTGGAAGTGGGGTGCAGGGACTTTGTTGCCAGTACAACAGCAAAACTACTTAGAGAGACTGGAATCAGAGGACATGCACAAAGGCAGGCTATAAGAGAATTAAATAACACTGCTGAGAGGACCAGTCACTGGCTATGACTAAAGAGGGCTGACATCACTCAGGCAGCTAAGGTAGTCAGCTAACCGTGAGACACATGCCGAGGATTACTTGACCCATGGTGGGCCTGTCTCAGTAGAGGGCGTCAAAAGGGTAGAATATCTAACACTAGAAAATTTACTGGTTGACTGATACAACTCTCTCAGGGATTCCTGGGGGCTGTGCAGTTAACCTGATGGTAGTGAAACCTAGGGATGGGGATCGTTTAGGTTTTATCCGATACCGGTGCCAAACTGGTACTTTTGAAACGGTGCCGGTGCTTAAACAGTGCTCGAACCGGTGCTTATAGAATGGAGAACACACACTTTGTCCAAAAACCTCTCATGTTCAGCTGTTTTATTGTAAAAAGATAACAATGTTAGCCTTTTCTGCAGCTATAGGGCATATATGGCATCACTCTTGGCTGGAAGCAGTGCTTAAAAAATGGAAAAAACACAAACTTTGTCCAAAAACCTCTCATGTTTAGCTGTTTTCCACTTTTCTTTGGTCATTTTGGGTGAAGGTAGTGTCTGCCATCAAACAAGAAGACAGCCGCATGTAACATGCGGTGTTTGCTAGTTCACCTTACGTACATTAATTTAATAACATAAAAAAATATATATGTTACTCTTCTCCCCTCCCCCTCTTTTTCCCTTTTCTGGGAGGCAGTGGGGAAGTAGAGCGTACAGTTCGATCCGGTGGGGAGGTGTGGGATACCAGATCAGGTGCCCCCCTTCTGGCACAGAAATAACAGTTTAACATGAATCAGTGACACTGATCAACCCTGGCAATGCCTCCTTGGATGAGGATGTTTACTGTAAATGGCAAAACACCCAGTGAATGCATTGGGTAAAAGGATTGTAAGGATTGTAACATCTCCTTTTACTGAATCAAGCAACTTCTTCAGTCTCCTCCTCCTTTATTTGTGATTTAGTATTGTTCATGGTTCAGTTTCCTTGTTTTTCCATGTCTCTCGTACATGTCTCCCAGTTACTGTTAATCTTGCATGTCTTGAGTCTCTGTCTGTTCCTGTTTTATTTTGACAGTTCCAAGTCCTGTGTTCAGTGTTTTCAGTTTGCTTCCTCCTTGTCTCAATCCTTGTCAGATTTGTTCCAGCTGTGTTTTCGTCCTGTGTCTCATTCAATTGTTATTATTTGTGTATTTAGACTCTGTTATTTCCTCTGCACATGGTTGCGTTGTCCCATGTTGCTGTGTTGTTTCTCTGTGTTCCTTGAAGCTGTGAATTTCCTCCTGGTTTGTCTAGTTCTAGTTTACCAATTTCCCTGTTTTCTAGTTTTAGTTCCTTGTTTCTAGTTTGCAGTTTTGGTTTCGTTTCTCCTATTTACCATATTTTAGGACGATAAAGAGCACCGGATTATTAAGCACGCTGCCGATGAACGGGTCTGATTTCATACATAAGGCACACCAGATTATAAGGCACATTAACCCTTTAAAACCGATCAGAGCAGGCATGCTCTGTTTTGCGTAACTATTTTTAAATCCCAGTAGCACTGCAACCACGTAAGCTGGCGCAAATTTTTTTTGCATATGAAACCGGAGGAGTTATACTTGCATCTTATGCCATCAGCTTGTCCTAGGTCACAGTTTCTTCCACATATAGCTTTGCAAAAACTGCATAAAAAGTGCTTGCAGGAACAAAAGCATAATATTCCAGACACAGGCTTTGCCGATCCGATCAGCTGTTCATAACACTTCCTACGTCCATCAGCGCGAACTATCGCATGTCCGCCATGACCTACCCAAAACCGGAAGTGACGTCATTTTCGCGGAAATGTAGTTTTTTACCATCATGGCCTCATGAGCTTATGCTTGTGTTTTTAAAAGTTATCTTTGACTTTATGCCTTTCTGTGTCGTTTCTGGGATGCTTAGGACTCATATTGCACTGCTGGAAATAGTTTATTTTGATGCATATGCTGCTTTTTTGCAAATTTGCATCATAATATCTATTTTAGTTTTTCCTGCAGTGTATAAAAATTGGTGTATTTCAAAAATAAAACTATGAAGACACTCAAAATAAATTTCCTGTGGTGGGAAACTATTTTGTGCAACTTTTTTGTATTTACAGTTTTGAAGGATAAGCCTCTTAAATTTCTCTAACTAGAAATATATGTTAAAAAAACAAAAACGATTTTCAATCTTTTTGTAGTTTATTGCACTTTTTTGCAATTTATGTAGTTACTATAAACTTAATGCTTACATATTATTAAAACTTAGGCTGTAATGGTTGTATTGATGTATAGAAACTTGAAATGCTCCCAAAAATGGCACTACAGCATGTAAAAATATACTATAAGCTCTGGCGGACTTTGTGCTATGGTAGTTCTTAAAGGGTTAAGCAAAACAAATAAGTCAGATAAGTCAAAAAAGTTAGCATTCATCCCCCAGCTTCACTGTGTTTATGTTATGCTAACATAGCTGTCACTAGCGATCACGGAGCACATCATTATATACCAGGTAGTCCAACTTCAGTAACCCTACAAACGTGACTGATGTTTAGTTTTCTGTCTTCATTTATGTCGAATTTATGTTGAAGTGATAACAGAGCTGTAGGTTTGAATTTTTAAGAAATCTCTTAGTCAGAACATGGTATATCATGTTTAGATGGAAACTAGTGAGCTAACTTCCTGCTAGCTTCTAACTAAAGTAAATTTAATAAATTCCGTTTTCATGGATGCCTAGATGTTAAACGTAATTGTTACACCCAGTAAAGCAGCAGCGCTGATCATTTTATTAGAGAGGAAATAATTTAGACAGTTTTCAACTCGTTTGACTTTGGGACCTGGAGAAGACGGAGTTTGGACCGAAAGGCTCCTGCCTACGGTAGCCGTAATGCTCCGACAGTCCATCAAGTGGTGCGGCTTCCAAAGTCGTACTAAAACATTTTCTGACAGGTCTTTGAGCGCCGTGTACCGCACAAGTTTGGTTCAAGGTCAGTAAGCACAACCAGAATACATGTAAGGTGCACTGGATTATCAGGTGCACTGTCGATTTTTATGAAAATTCAAGGATTTTAAGTGTGTCTTAGGGTGCAGAAAATAAGGTAGTGTTGTAGTTTTTACAATGAAATTAAGCTCCTTCTTCATGTTGTTCTTATGAGTATTGAGTCCTGTTTTTGGGTGATCATCCTGCCTTGCACAGCACATTCACATGACAACCTCACTGTTACAACATCTGCCATAAAATCCTCAAAAACACAGACACATATATGGAAACAAACATAGGTTTTGTCAGTTTTTTCATAGATAAGAAATGATTCAAATGTTTAAACTGGCATTTAAAGTGTTCAAACCTTGAAAATTATTTAATGTTTGATCATTTTGAAAAGCGCTCAAGTTGGTTATTTTTGGGGAAAAGGACAGAAAAAATATTGCTGTATTAGGATTTTATGGCAGATATTGTCAGTGTACATTTTTGTCTACAAAGGTGTTGCAACGGTGCAAAATTTGAGGAGGACATAAGGGCTAAAACAGATAGTTTTGTGTCCTTTTATTTGTCTAACAAAAATGTGATAATATAAACTGTAACTGCCCACCAGAGACTAAAGACTCTCTGGCCTTAAGTACAAATTGCCTGGGTGCCTCCTCTCTGTGGAGAAATAGCTCTACACAGAGGTGGTACATAAGGCTGGAAAGAGGGTAGGATGCCCACAAAGGCAAAAGAGCCAGTAAACTCTAAATGCTCTGATATGCCATATCAAACAAGCCTCATTAAACAAGGGACAGATTGTCCTTTATCAATGATTAACAGATAAGGTTCTTCTGTAGTTGCCCCAGTTGCCTCAAGATGCTTTATATGTCTACAATTGTGATGTGAAAAGCTAAATCATAATTGTTTATAGTGGTTATTTGTATGAATAATGTTCAATTTTCTGTGCCTTCTAGGATTTTTTTCCCATATTTTTCACTTCAGTCTACATCTACAATGTTTTGCCTGAAGGATGGACGATGCTGTAAAATGCCACTTGGGGCCATCTGTGTCTTCCTTTTTCATCACTTTATTTTTTTCTTTCACTTAGCACAGTTTTGTGGAGGTAATTAAGTCTTATCGTTATGGAGTTACACAAATTATGCAACACATCTAAGTCTATTAATTACTCAAATATTTCTGTTATTGATTAAATGTCAGCCATTTCATTTATGCCACAGGCTAAAACAGCAAATGTAAAACACCTGTGCTTCTGAACCTCGGTTTAAAATAATCTAATCAGAAACTAATAAAACAATGTTTGGTAACTTTCTTTCAAAAATGACACGTATTTGTAATTTTCCTTTAGGTGTGTCTCAGGTGGTTGGTCCATCTGAGCCAGTTGTGGCAATAGTTGGTGATGACACTGTGTTACCATGTCATCTGGATCCTGCTGTGAATGCTGCTGATATGACAGTAGAGTGGACACGATCTGACCTCACACCTAAATTTGTGCATGTTTGGCGAGACGGCGTGGAGCTCGTGAATAAAAAAAATGAAGCCTACATGGAAAGAACATCACTACCCATTAACAACCTAAAGCTGGGGGACATTTCACTAAAACTCTCCAAAGTGAAACTGTCAGATAGGGGATCATACAAATGCTTCAGTCCTGCGCTTAGTGGACAAGCCAGTGTTGAGCTTGTTGTTGGTAAGTGGAGATATAGTCTTTGCACAGAAAGCTCAAAATGAGATCTAATGTTGAAAATCATCAGTCAATATTTAGTTTAGAAAAAAAAAACATTGTTAGTAGTAAAAAATCATAAGGGTAAAAAAAAACAGAATAGTAGAATAGTGTTTTTCATGTCACTGTTAAATGGTTTAAATACAGTCGCTGTACAAGTATATGGAACGCCAGGACTGCCATAATGAATTAATTAAATACACCATTAAATAATTAATTAAATGTGGCAATAATTAATTAAAATTGGAATTAATTAATTAAATAAATAGTTATGACACATGTAATTAATTAATTATTGACACATTTCATTAATTATTTATGTATTTCACATTTTAATTAATTATTGACACATTTCATTAATTAATTATTGACACATTTCATTAATTATTTATGTATTTCACATTTTAATTAATTATTGACACATTTCATTAATTATTGACACATTTAATTAATTATTTAATGATATATTTATTTATTTCATTTTGGCAGTCCTGACGCCTGGCTCTCATCATGAAATAATTTTATCTGTCAGCCTCACCCATCAAACTCAGGGGGCGGGGTTAACGCTGATCGAGTCAAAACCATTGCTTTGGCCTGGTGGCCATTGTTTCTAGCACACAACAACCGGCATGTGGAAGCTAACAGAACTGAACTTTGAAAAACCCTGTTTGTGTGTTACCAAATACCGTTTTAATATTTTTTTAGCCGAGAATGTAGTGGTTTAATCTTCATGTGCCTGGTCGGTTTGTCAAGATACAGCCTCTTTGCAAAAGTGTTTCGATGATTTCGGAGATGTCGTCCCAGTCTCACGGCAAAGCGTGGGATAGACCCGCTCGCCTCGCAAGCAATCCCACCGACAAAGCGCAGGCCCCGGTACACAGCTGTAGTAACCCCCGCTGACTTCTTTTACTGAGGTTATATTTATCGATGTTTTATTTCCTGATGTTCTTATGTGTCCTACGTGTTTCAGTCGCCAATTCTGAATTATAACTAACATTAAAAACATGTTTAAGGAGGAGAGAGAGCAAATAAATCTGTTTAACATCTGATCTTTGGGTTTTTGTTCAGTAATCAGCGTGACCTGTGTATAAACACATAAAAGAGATAACGTTGGTGTTTCCGTCATGTAGTAACTGCTGGCTTTAACTGTACAAAGGTTGTTCGACACTATGAAACACATACAGACTTCATGATGTTCGGCTAATATTTTTATTGTGAATATTAATCATGCTGACCTCGCTCTGTACACCACGCAGCGAGGTCAGCATATCCACGATATCCTCAGCTCCATGAGTTAACACAAAGTTTCCCAGCTGACTATCTAACTGCCAACTGTTCCAGAGACGTGAAAATATACAGCATAAAGAAAAGTGTAAGAGACTCAGCAGCAGATTAGAATAACAGTTATACATTTAATAAATCACCAAATGAATCCAAGAAACGAGCAAACCTGTTCCGACAATTTGAATTTGTATTCCCTCAGCTGCAGACTCGCTGCTGTTTAAATGTTTGAAAAGGAAGATTAGATATAAACAAACGTCAAACATAGACTCAGTCTGCCTTCACATTTGATATGAGGCCAGCACGTATAGTGGCCTCAGCAGGCTATTACTGAAATACACGTGCTATATCATAAACTATGATATAAACAGGGAGGTCCTATTAACATGTTTAGTTTTAAAGGACACCTTCCTGCCTTTAGTCTCATTCATGAGCAGTATTAGTTTTCTTCTAACATCCAGAAGTCTGCACAATGTGTTTCATAGTTTGTAACAAGCCTTTGACAGGTAAACATAACATGACCGAAAAAGCAAAAAAAAAGAAAAAAAAGAGAGAGAGTGTTGACATAAGAAGAGAAAATGCTCTCAATTATGGAGACAGGCAAATGGTTCATTTATGTTTGATGTGTGTTTATTCCTCCCTAAATATCGTCGGTGAAGTTTGCCATGCATGTCAGATTTTCCTGCGCATTTTTATACGTCTGCCAACAGAGAGAGAAAAAAAATCACATTCTAACAGACAGCTGGTGCTTAGAATACAGTTGAATAACTATTAAAAAACAGATGATATTTAGATGATAGTTCAGTCTAACACATGTGCCAGTGAACCATTAAACGTCTGTGAAACTATGCAGTTATGAAACGTAACTTTAACCTCAGCCAAACCGATTTGCTCAGTTGTAAATAAAACAGCGAAGTAAACGTGACCCGACAGACAGAACCTGAGTGAATGAAGTCCAGCGTTTAACCACTGAGAGCTAAAACTCAGCTGAGGTTTCAAAGCTGTGTGCCGGTGATTGGACATCAGCCGCTGATAAAGCTGTTCGCCTATAAAGTGCTCTGTAAGGAAACAAGCTCCAGCAGCTCTGCGCTCGGGGAAAACACTATATTTACTTATCTTGTGCAGAAAAATGCGCTGACATTGCGTTATATCGAGCACCGGCTGCCCAGTTAAACTGTGACTATCACCAGGTAACGTAGGCGTGTTTCTTGAATTACCAGCAGGTGTTAAACAGCTGACAGATGAGGAGGAGGATGCATGCAGGTAAACTGAGGGTCTGTTGAGCTGATCGCTGGTTTCGTGAGAAAAATGTCAGCTCGTTCTTTATGTTACAGAAGCACAGAGACACAAGACCAGGCGGAAAGAGACGATCGTTCGGTGAAAATGAGAATCTGCGAATGCAACATGTGGAACACGGAGAGTGGAATATGTAAACAAACCGGTTAACGTAACCCCCTCGGTGCACTCTGCATGCTAACTGTTAGCAGAGCTAGTGAAATCTCTGAAAACATCTGAGCACTTTTGCAAACATGTTCTATGTTGACAACCTGACCAGACATACGGCGCGACATTCGCGGCTAAAACACTGTTAAAAGTGTAGCTGGTGACAGAAAAACGGGGTATTTTAAAACTACACCACCACCATTGCTGCCTGTGATTTGATCTGCATTCTGGGATAACTGGCTGCCCCAAGTCTACACAAGCAATCAATTATCTAGGATCGACCTGTTTTGACTTACTTTGCACGGCAACCAATCAAATGTTAGAGAAGCTGCATGGGCAGCGTTAACCCCGCCCCCTGAGTTTGATGGGTGAGGCTGACAGATAAAATTATTTCATGACGAGAGCCAGGCGCCAGGACTGCCAAAATGAAATAAATAAATATATCATTAAATAATTAATTAAATGTGTCAATAATTAATTAAATGTGTCAATAATTAATTAAAATGTGAAATACATAAATAATTAATTAAATGTGTCAATAATTAATTAATTACATGTGTCAATAATTAATTAAAATGTGAAATACATAAATAATTAATTAAATGTGTCAATAATTAATTAATTACATGTGTCATAACTATTTATTTAATTAATTAATTCCAATTTTAATTAATTATTGCCACATTTAATTAATTATTTAATGGTGTATTTAATTAATTCATTATGGCAGTCCTGGCGTTCCATACAAGTATTCAGTGCATTTGCAATAAATTTAATGGCCCTTTAGTGTTGCTACTAGTTATAGTGACCAATGTGTTTTCCCTTTTCAAAATTAGGTGTAGTTTCATCACTTACCATCACTGTAATGAGGAACAGTGAGGACAGCGGTAAAGTGGTGTTACAGTGTGAGTCTGCAGGCTGGTATCCAGAGCCTGAGCTGCTGTGGTTGGACGGTGAGGGAAACCACCTCTCTGCTGGACCTGCAGAGACCCTCAGAGATCCTGATGACCTCTATACTGTCAGCAGCAGAGTGACTGTGGAGAAGAGACACAGCAACAACATCACCTGCAGAGTCCAACAGAGGAACACCAACCGGAGCAGAGAGACACACATACATGTTCCAGGTAAAAAATCAAACACACAAAGTATTTAGTTATAGTTTTATGTATTTTTTGTGTAAAATTGCTGCAGCCTACATGTTGATATCCTGTGTGTTCTCATTCCAGGTGATTTATTTAACCCCTCATGTAGTTCTGCGGCTCACATCACCATTGCTGTTGTTGTGACAGTCTTGCTAATTCTTGCAGTTGTCTTAGTTGTGTGGAAATATCGTTCTAAACGCCGAGGTACAGTATCTTGTTGTAAAAAGTGACAAAAAAAATATTTTCTTAAAAAAATTATAGGATAATAGATTTCTGTGAATTTAAATGACTTTATTTTGTACAACAGAAAGAAACTTCACAAGAAAGGAGAAAGGAGAAAGAAAGCATCTCACCGAAGACAGTATTGACACTGGTGACATAAATACAAAACAAGAAAATCTTGAGGCTCAAAAAGAAAAACAAGCAGTAGACAAATTTCATTTGTTAACAGCGGTTCAATTATTAATGAATCATAAATTTAATTTAGAAAAAGATATTGATGAACTTACTTCCGAAGTGCGGGAGCTAGAGAAACAGCAAGATAAAAATCAGAGTCAACTGGTAACAAATATGCAACCAACAGAACAAAATAATATACAGTCTGCAAAAATAAATCAAGATGAGGAAACAAAAAATATTTTTCGTTCAATGAAGCAAGCTCTTGATAGAAAAATACACGAAAACGAATCAGTAGTGTATGCGGTTCAGGTAATGTCAGAGAAGAAGGAAGAATTAGACAAGACTTTAGAAACAATTCTTGAACAGTTGGAGAAAATAAAGAACAGAAATGAAGTTCAAATGTAACTCCAATCAGACAGACCAGAGGCATAAAAGTAAAGCCTAAAACAGTCACATTATTCATTTAATGAAGAGTCTCTAACATTGACATAACCACAGCAGCTGAAGTAAAGAGAAGATGACTTTTATTTCTTCCACAGAAGAGACCCTGTCATCACCAGATAAACACAGTAGAAGGCATTGGTTGAGTTGCCCCACTCACACAATGTTTAATTATACCTCAGTGACCTCTAGTGGCCATAAGATTTATGACAACAGTACAGTATATGAGTAGATACCGATGCAAGATAGAGTTGTCTGTGTCAAGGAAATGGCATTTTTGTGTAGCTTTTTTCTTTTCTTACTGGTAATGACAACCCAATACTGTTGGTGATGACCTTAATATAAACTGAATATTAGTGCATGTTGATGCCATGTACCAGTTCATACATTCACATTCTGCATCACAGTTTCCAAATCTATTTGTTATCTGATTGCTTTCTGTCTTTAATTTTGTCTTTCTATAGCTAAAGTTTTGCTTTGGATATACTGCAAGTGTGTAGTTCTCTTTTGTTTAAGAAAAAAAAACATTCACAAAGGTTGTGTCAAAATGTCAAATAAGACATTAAAACGTGTAAAATAAGTTAGTACCGTGACAGCAGAATTCACATTATCAGCAGAATGTACTACTTAATATACCATCACTATTAAATGCACCAGACACGATGTCATGATGTCATGTTTTTAAGCCTGGTGTGTGTGTGTGGTTACAAGTGAAACTATCATTACCAGTCAGTGTATTAATAGCTCTTCATATCAGCAGCATCTTCTAGTTGACAGTAAAAGATTTTTAAAAAAGTGGTTGAACTGTTATGCTGAATGGATATCTCTTAATAAACAAACTCTGATGAAAAGAGTAATAACCACATGAGCCAATTTCCAGTTCAGCTTATTTCCAGGTAATAGCTACTTCAATACATGGTGGCTATATAAAATACTGTAAATGTACACAGTGATGTCTTTAAAAAGTTACCGTCTTCAACAAGTACCCAGCTGATACTTTACAAGTCATCTTGGAGGATGTCTTTACTGTACAGTTCTTAAACATTGCAAGGTGACAGATGTGGTAGAAAGAAAAAACACATCAAGTCTCTCCATTAACCTGATGTTTCAGTGCTTAGATCTTCATTGGACGAGACAGATGAGGTGACTTGGATATCTAACGATCTTAATTTCATTTTTCCCCTAAAATGCAACAGTTGTCAAAAAAGGTTATTTCACAGATAAAACAGTACTTCTCCGTCCATCAGCCTAAGCTCTTCTTTCGACTATTCCCTTTGAGATTTGCCACAGTGGATTACTGATCTCCATCTCATCCTGTGCCTAGCTTCCTCTTCCATCACACCAGCACAGAAATGACATAGAAACACAGAAAAATGTTTTTTTATGAATGTGTTTCTTAAAAGAGGGGAATGAAACATGGTGTATAGAGTCCATTTACTTTTCACCATCTTTAAATCATAAAACATGTCTCACTACTACCTTGGAGTACTAAATGTTGCCCTTTAACATTGATTTTCCACCTGTACTGCTAAAAAAATATTTGTGTCCTTTACGTTCTTTGGTGACTAAACAAAGGAGGTTTGTGATGTTGATGTTATCACATTCATTTTGCATGCAAAAGTTTCCTGATTTGAAATCAGGAGGAGAAAAAATACAACTTGGAGTACTTCTAGTGCTGGTCACAATGCTGAAGAAATAGCTCTGTTGTGTGAGGAAAGAATTCTGAGATTAAATACCTTACTATGTCAATTCACTACAGCAACAATAAATAATTATATTAACCACAAATGAGTTGTTAGGCCAGTGTTTTTAATAAGAGTCCACACCAAACATATTACAAAAAATTAGAAATGAATCAATTATATATATATATATATATATATATATATATATATATATATATATATATGAAAACAACTCACAAAACAAGCTAACAACATAATCATCTTAGATACATTTCTTTTATAACAAAACGCAGACTTTTTTGCATTAAATTTATTCTCCCACCTTGTGTTGACAGTATCACCATCTTTACCATAAACGGATATTCTGTTGATAGCTGACACAACATTTGACACACTATGTTGCCACAGAAGCCACAGTGAGTATATTGAAAAATTGCAACAGTGTATTCATATCTATAATGAGGCATGAGGCAAAGCAAATAGACCTGGGCTTCACTATTTGTTAAAAAACTGCTACCCTTTAAAATAGACATGATGATGTGAAGTGGCAGACGTTTTACTCTCAGATGAAGAATGGAGATAATTAAGAAAACAAACCATGAGGGTGAGATGTTTGCAAGTTTCTATAAACAGCCATCTTTTCACCAATTAGACATTAACTATTTATACAAAAGGAATGAAATGTGCTAATAACAACAAAAATGTTTCATTGTATTTTATATAAATGCCAATTTTTCCAAAGGAATTAAAAGGCACACTGAAGACTAGCATTCCCTTTACTTTTAATTTTGTATTGCACAGTAAAAGTTATCCGGATCCATGTCAGTAATTCGTTGACTGGCATCTCTCTGCAACCAGCTCGCTGCTGCCAGCTCTGTTTGGAGACACAATCAATTTCAAAACAGTTGTTTATTTATTTTGAAATAACAACAGAGCTATCAGAAATCTTGGAAACTATATTTGAACCAACTAATAATTTCAATTTTTTTTGCCAACTATGACAAATTAAGGCTCCAAATTTAAAACAGTGTTATCTAACTGTTTTAAATCTGATAAACCGAGGGGACTCATCAACATATTTTTCTGTCAGTTTCTTGTGTGGGTTTTTTTTTCCTGAGATCCACAAAACAAAGCTCAAAATATCAACAACATGAAACACACACGGTGTGTTTAAAAGAAATATAAATCAAAAAGAAAAAATATATAACATCACTGTCAGAAATCCCCCAAAAGCAGCAAAACTAAGATGCATTTTAGTTGTTCTCAAAACATATTGGTGAGCATAAAGGATGTTAAATCTTTTCAGTCTCAGTTACCTTTCACATTTCTGGGTTTTCTGACCATAGAATACGTCTCCTGGACTGATTCAAGTGCATGGTCCTCTGCAGGCATATAACAACAAAACATCATAAGAATGATTTTCTTTTCATTACATTTAAATGTAAATTGTCCTCACTTATTTCCGGCTGTGAAAATGTGATGTGTGGACTTCTGGAAGATGTTACTTTTTATATGATAGCATATTTCTCTTCCACTAGGCCTTTTAAGCAATAACGGGTATTATAACTTCAATGTTTTCCAGTTTAGGCAAATTACCTTTTGGCCTTCTTGGTTTTGTGATGAGGGAATATGTCTCATTGTTTTGTTCAGCTCTGCTTACCACTGCAGGCACTGAAATATAGAGATAAGCCAAACCTTAAACAAAGTATAAAGATATGGGCAGACAATTTAGTTACATTTTTTAAAATCTCTCATTCTAGACACTTTCTCTATATGATAACCATCTCAAAGTAAAGATAGTAAAATGAAAGAGAAATGACAAAACAAGAGTGATGGTTAAAATGTTGTGTTGTTGTTTTTGGTCAACAAGTCACTACTAAATTAAATTATATTACTTACATCTTAGGACCCTGATATTTCGTATTTATATTAGTTATTACAATCTCACTGTCTTTCCTAGCAACCAGTAGAGTGGCACATATTTATAGGATATATGCTTCTACCACATGAAAACACAACACAATTTGTTTCATAACAGTAACATGCAATTTATATACAAAAAATGATAACAGCATGTTGCCTAATAAAAATAATTGACCAATCTTGCTTGTGCAGTAAGGCTATACTGGGAAATGGTAAACCCTTTTTTTGCAGAGGGGAAGGTAGATCTAGCTCTCGTGCTCCCCGTGTCTCATGAAAATGTGACAAAATGTTAAGAGTGGATATAGAGACACATTTTATGTCAAGGAAAATAAGTTGTCTGGAGAAACACACCAGTCGAAATACTTCAAACTTTTATACTTTCTATTTCAGTCAACTGAATACATTTTTAGTCTCC